TAATATAAACATTAAAAAAATATCTTGTGAGAAGGTCTCTGTAAGTCACTATCATTGTTTGCCACGGATGCTTGTTCTCACATTGTTTATTCAGTAGTTCACATGTTGCTGTGGGATAACTGATTGGAATAAAAAAAAAAACCCATAGCATTCATATACAGAAAATAAAGCCAAAAGGAGATATGGGAAAATGTCACGTATTTTCAGAATATCTTTTCTCATTCATTTGATAACCTTTGCTGAGCACTCTGTCCTGCCTCCTTAGATTGTTTGTATCTAGAATGCCAAGGTGTCAATGGTGGAGAAAATTGGTGTGAAAAGTGTACCACAATCATTAAACATGTTCTGGGAAGACCGATTTGGGTCAAGTTCCTTGTCCCTGTTTCCCACACTCAAGCTTCCGACAGTGTGGTTGTGTTGGTATGCTTATCTTATCCCAGAATGTTGCAAATGTAGCCGCTGAATTAACTGTCAATAATAATTAATTTAAAATGAATACTAACTAACATAACAGAATTACAGAGTTGGAAGGGATTTTGGAGGTCCTATAGTCCAACCACCTGCTCAAGAAGGAGACCCTATACCAGGGGTCTACAAACTTGGTCCTTTTATGACTTGTGGACTTCAACTCCCAGAATTCCTCAGTCAGGCACGAGGGATTATGGGAGTTGAAGTCCACAAGTCATAAAAGGGCCAAGTTTGAAGACCCCTGTCCTATACCATTTCAGACAAAAGGTTGTCCAATCTCTTCTTATAAACTTCATAGCTTCTGGAGGCAGGTTGTTCCACTGATTAATTGTTCTAACTGTTACGAAATTTCTCCTCACTTCTAGGTTGCTTCTCTCCTTGATTAGTTTCCATCCATGGCAGTATGATGTTCAATTTTTATTCAGTGAGGAGATAAAGCAAAAGAGATGAGGCTCCTGATAACGACATCCACAAATATTTATTTTGGTAGAATTGTAGAAGCAGATTGTCACCGCCTCTTAAGATTTTGTTAAATTTCCCTGGAATTTGTAGGCAATACTGTACGCCATCCGTGTATTCTCTTGGCCCAACGTTAATTTCTGAGATCAGTTTTGATCAGCTAAATGCTGCCACCTGCAGAAGCATTGAATTTCGAAGTTCTTCCAAATCTTCTCCCACTCGCTTTTATCCTGACCTCTGAGAGCAACAGAAAACAAATCTGCACCAGAAATCTGCTCCACTTCGGATATTGTATCTCTTTCCAAATTTTTTTCATTATCTGGATTTTTCAACTGCTTCTCATAGAACCTGATTTCCAGAGTTCTCCACTCACCCTTCTCAGGGCATGGTCTAGGTTGTTGATATTCATAAAATGTCAACTTCCAGACAAGGCAGGGGATTTAATCAGTGCAACATGTGGCTGTACTTTTCTCCTGCTAATTTAGAGTTGATGTATTCTTTACTGATGCAGTAATCTGGAGAGGATAGCTATGCATATACTGTAAAGACGAAAGACTGTCCTCCACAGACATCTTGACACGATAGCAGCCAACCAATACCTAAGGGGCTGCCACCAAGAACAGGGTGTCAACGTATTCTCCAAAGCAGGGGGTTGGACTAGAAGACCTTCAGGATCCCTTCAACTCTGTTATTCTAAACAGAAGTACATTTCTCGTGCCAGCTTTTCAACTGGTGAAAAACACTGCTGCTAAGAGTGATTTGGACAGATTTGAAAGACATGGATAAAGTTTAACTGCCTATACCTTCCACATTTTCTCTGAAGGTCATTAAATGGATCACTTACACAGCCAGCTTGTCCAACTTGCTGCTCTTTGGATACAGTAGCACCCAACTACTCTCCTTGCCACTCATCACGGCCAATGGCTGTAGGGAAGATGGACAAGGATGTCCAGCACATGTGAACAACTTGTGTGTATCACAATGGGGTATTATGGGTCTCCAGACACAGTGTCTGCTCCAGGCAGCATTCAACAGTGGGCAGCAATTCTACAACAAAATGCATTTTTTATTTTTTTTAATGCAACCTAATTTCATAACATGGCAAGAACAATAAAAAAACAAAAACAGAAGCCCTACACATAGCATCGTCAACATATTTATAATTTGCATTCATTTTATGGAGGGAGGGAGGGAGGAAATAGAAGGAAGGGAAAAGGAAAGGAAGGAAGAAGGAAAGGAAGGAAGGAAGGAAGGAAGGAAGGAAGGAAGGAAGGAAGGAAGGAAGGAAGGAAGGAAGGAAGGAAGGAAGGAAATGCTACATATATCCAGCCAATGCCATAACAATAAAAAAAAAATTGGTACCGCACATAAGTACTTACATATTACATTCAACCAAGTACATTGTGCTTATAATGAAACACTGTTTGCAACCACATGGACATTTAGGAAAAGAGAATCCCTTTGGTACAAAACATGTGACACAGCTCTTCTATCGGGCTGATCTACTAATTTTCTTAGAAGGAAGGATCCAAGCATTTAGCTGGCAGACTGGATTCCAAGGAGCTGAGCATAGATCTCCACAGAGCATCACAGGATGATGTCTTAGCTTGTACAACTAGCACAGCATTGGATACACGGATTGACGTTTTATTAGCTTCCGTGCAACTACAAAACCCATGCTCTTTGAGGATTCCGTCCACATTCTCCTCTTTCCTGCTACCTCCCTCTCGTTCGCAGAAGTTCTGCCGATTCCCACCATGGCAAATGTTTGCGTTTCCCACTAGCAGGGCAATTAATAATGTCTTGAAAGTTTGCCCAAAGGCCGTCTTGCCGAGAGATTCCAAGGCTGTTGACATTAGTTCCTCAGCAGGCTACATTTTCTGATGCTAAGCCACTGTCCCCTTTGAAGGAATGTGTTGTGTGCTTTCCCACTGCTCAGATTTATTTCGACCTCTGTTTATCTCTCTCCCCCCCTTTCCCTCCCCCCTGAACCCCAGTTCTTGGGATCTTGAAAAGAGGTCGATCCAGCTGCTAAAAAACCAGAAACCTTGATTGTGGGAAGCCATGGGGGTTACGGCTTTGTTTAGCCGACATGATTGGATTTTAGATGAGGGCCGAAAAAGAAAAGGCTGGCTATTTTTTTAATTTTCGCCCACCGTGTCCCCACTTCTACTCTCCAAGCTCTTCTCTGCCACCCTGTCAAAAACAGTTGCAGAATATCATGACCCCCGAAGCTCATTTTGTCACCAAGTTGGCTGCAGGCTTACACTTGTGTGACCAGGATATTAAATCATATCCAGTTCCCAGAAGGACATCCCAGCTTTGACTGAATCACCATGGCAACTTGCCAACACACAAGCACACACATACGTGTATATATGTATATATATACACATGTATGTATATGTGTGGTGTGTGTGTGTGTGTGTGTATGTGTATGTGTGTGTGTGTGTATATAGATTTGCTGTTCCCTCCTCTTAATCCTTATAACTGGAATTAGATTGCCCTCCAAACTTTAATATTCATTTACTATGACGTAGTTTAAGAAAATACCGTTTCCTCTTTTCTGCTGTTGCTGAAAGTTGAACAACAGTTTCCTTTCAGTTTTTTACCTGAAGACTAGGGTCAAAGCCAATATGTCATAATAGGTTCTCCTTCTTTCTCCAAAATCTGACGGTCCCACCTTGCTAATATTTTTAGCTCTCTGCCATAATTGCCTCTTCCTTTAATAGCAGATTGCACCTCCAAGTTTAAAATAAGAAGATCAATTTCCTTTTCCACGTCAAAAGAGAAAAGCTTGCTTTTAGGACAAAAGAGAAAAGTGGCCCCTTATCAAAAAAAGGATGTCCTCAAGATGACTCAGCCAAGTGTTCCCCATTCAACATTTCTAGCCCAAAGAAAGAAAAACTCACTTATAACTATCAGGCCTTGGTTGACCTTAGTTTTCTCCAGATCAGTATTCTCCCTGACACATTGCACCGGAAATTGCTAAAAACTCTAACCAGCACAAAGGATTCCAGAAGTTAAATTCATCAGGAGATCTCCAAGTTAGGAAAATATGGCTTTTTCCCCGTACAGTTCATCTTAGCAATCCATGTATGCTTGACCAAGGAATAATTAGTACTGTTGGAGTTGAGAATATCACAACAAGGGTAGGCAGCCATAATATCACATTAGAAATCAATTCAGTTCAGTTCAGTTTAGACTCGAGCTGGAAGGGACCTTGGAGGTCTTCTAGTCCAACCACTTGATCAAGCAGGAGACCCTACACCGTTTCAGACAAATGGTTGCCCAATCTCTTCTTAAAAACCTTTAGTGTTGAAGCACCCACAACTTCTGAAGGCAAGTTGTTCCACTGGTTGATTGTTTTCATCATTAGAAAGTTTCTCCTTAGTTCCAGGTTGCTTCTCTCCTTGATGGGTTTCCATCCATTGTTTCTTGTCCTGCTTTCAAGTGCTTTGGAAAATAAGTTGACCCTGCCTCTTCTTTGGGGCAGCCCCTCTAATATTGGAATACTGCTATCATGTCCTTCCTAGTCCTTCTATTTTCCAGATTAGCCATACCCAAATCCTTCCTATGTTTTAGCCTCCAGGCCTTTAATCATCTTAGTTGCACTCTTTCCAAAGTCTCAACATCTTTTTTATAATGTGGTGACCAAAACTGGATGCGGTATTCCGGATGTGGCCTTACTAAAGATTTATAAAGTCTAATACAACCAATATATATTCAACTTGCTCTTCCACGTTTGGGCAGAAAGACTGAAGAAGTTTGTTTCTTGTAAGCTTGGGATGCAGAAAGGTGTTCAAGCACAAACAGTCTTGGGTCTCAAAAAAGAACAAGCAAAGCGCTATTATGAAATCACCTTTTTACAAATAAGATGTGAACATGTCCAACACACTTTGTTCCTCCTATTTTCCCCACAATAACAATTCTAAGGTGAGATGGGGAGAGAGAGAGAGGGACTAACCCAAAGTCACCCAGCTGAGCTTTCATGCCTAAAGTGGGACTAGAATTCACCATCTCCTGGTGATTGACCCAAAGTCAACCAGTTGGTTTTCACACCTAAGGTGGAACTAGAATTCACCATCTCCTGGTGATTGGCCCAAAGTTACCCAGCCAGCTTTCATGGCTGAGTCAGGACTTGAACTCATGATCTCCCACTTTCTGGCCCAGTGCCTTAGCCACTAGATCAAACTGGCAATTACAAGGCATCAGCTTCAAATCTACCTGCAATTTCTTTAGTTCCTTCTTTTGCCTTATTCCCCTGCTTATCACTGCCTTTTTCTGAGCAAACGGGCACAGTTCCAAACAAAGCATTGGATTGACTATATCACCGTTTTTATGTCTTATAATATTTTTTAAGTTTTATTCAGATCCCAGAGGCATATTTGGAAATAACAGATGAAGCAAGGAAATCTGGCTGTTGCCAAGCGAATGTCTACATACACACTTGCTTCTCTGGCCACCATGTTGAGAAACTAGGTAAACCACCAACCCAATAATTGGCATCACAGATTGGCATCTGTTTGGGGGAAGTTGGTATAATTGCAAGCGCATTGTCCATGCCAGCTCATAGTTTCAATTTTACAAGGTGCTAGACCTACAGTCTTCCTGTCACTTCCCAAATGTATGTTTCTGCCAAGGGACAGATGAAGAAGCCCTTACTAAGCCTTATGTTCCACAGCATTTCCATTAACCACTTCATCTATCTTTGAGGACATCTTCCGGTGATGAGAACTGGAAATAGAGCCCCTTTGGAAAGTAGAAAGCCTCCTACGAAAGTTCCCCCCAGAAAAGTAATAGAGAAGTGGGTTGAAGCAACAGTTGAAGGCTGCAAGGGAGTAGGTTATCACCACAGATTTCTGCATGTAGAGACTCTTCTCACAGGAAGTGTCATCTTTCATCGAGTGGAGGTGGACAGTGCGCTGGACATGATATGGGGTGAAACTCACGAGGAAGACGATGGTCACAATTATGATCATCCAGATGGCTTTTCTATGAATTCCTTCTTTCTTATGCATGGAATTCTTCAGGAGCTTGTTTAGGATCATGGCATAGCAGATGGTGATGGTGATGAAAGGAAAGATGAAGCCAACGAACAATGAAATGTAGTGGAGAACCATCAGCTTCCTCACATCCTTGTTCCTTGGTGGCTCAAAGCATTTGGTTACATTTTCATTAGACAACTGAGCACTTTTCTGCAAAAATGGGGTGGTGGTCAGGGTTACAAAGAACCAAATGCCAACACACACAATGATGGCTCTCTTCCGGGAGATAAATTGGATATTCCAAATCGGGAAAACAATGGCGATGCAACGGAAGAAACTCATCGCCGTCATGAACAGGATGCTACAGTACAAGTTGACATACATGGCATAGGAGCTGATCCGGCACAAAAAGTCACCAAAGAACCAGTTGCCTTTATAGAGGTAATAGACCACTCGCAGGGGCAGAGTACATACAAAGAGAAGATCTGCAATGGCAAGGTTGAACATGTATATCTGGAATGCTGTTTTCTCGTGGTATGTCCTGATGAGGACACATAACACAAAGCCATTTCCCATAAATCCCAGGATAGAGATTATGGAGTATGCCACGGGATACACCTGACTCCGAAACTCATCAATGGTGGCATTGCATGACATGTTTTTCATTGTGTTTGCAGGAGACGTCATGAGATCACGCTCAACTCCTAGAGGACAAAAAGTGGGGAAAGAAGATATGAGGCACTCAGAATGAGAGTAAAGATGCTACCAACCAAGAAGCTCAAAATACAGTTTTCTTCTTAAATCATTGTGGGAGAAGGACTGATAGAACTTTGGGGCAGAGTCAAAAGAGGGATCCTTGAGTAGCCACAAACGAATTAAGTCCAACCCCATTTGAGTGCCATTGACCCTTATTTAATTCCAAGCAGGTGCTGTTAGTTGAGAAGAGTTAGCAATCAATCACTTTAATTGAACCTTCATGATGGCACAGTGGTCAGAATGCAGTATGGCAGGCTAACTCACTGCTCACTGCCAGGAGTTCGATCCTCACTGGCTCAAGATTGACTCAGCCTTCCATCCTTCTGAGGTTTGTAAAATGAGAACCCAGATTGTTGGCACCAATATGCTGATTCTGTAAACCACTTAGAGTGGGCTGTAAAGCACTATGAAACGGTATATTAGTCTAAGTGCTATTGCTATTGTTATTCATATGTGGATCTGGTCTTTCATGGACAATCATGTACAAAAAAAGGTGTTATGCCAAGAATTTCTTATTCCGTTTAATGGAGAAGAATTGCTACTTGATATTACATTCAAAGTTTGAAGATCTTTCTCTCCTAATGCGCAAAAAAAAAAAAAAAATCTGCTACAAACTCCACATGGCATCAGGAAGGGCATCCGCCCAGTAAACTCTCACTTCTATCCAGTCACCCCAGCTCTACATGGAATAGGGACTACTTTTTTATGTTTTTATGTTCCAAGTAGACAAAAAAAAAGAAAAAATCAGTGAAGCTCTTGTGATAGGTATCCTTGACATTATCTTAGTGCCAAGGTCAGGGGTCTTCAAACTTGGCCCTTTTATGACTTGCGGACTTCAACTCCCAGAATTCCTCAGCCAGTCCCCTGGGTGAATGAATGCAATTGTCTGACTGTCTCTGGTAGTCTGCAGCGTCCCTGGGTCATCATACAACAGTCCCAATGAAAATTATCAAGGCAATGGGAAAAAAGTGAATTATGACCCAGTTCTGAAGTTCTGATGGTTGCCCTTCCATTTGCAGCTATAGGTCCCGCTTCAGGAGCTTGACAACTTGGCTATATTTACAGCAGTTTGCAGTGTCCCACAGTCACATAAATGTGTTTTATGATGGTTTTAGTTACATCTGTTTTTTAGCAAAACTGTGCCGCAACAGTGGGTTTGCTTAGTGACTGTGGCGTTTGTTTAAGTCCATGTTGTTCACTCAGCAACTGCTACCAAAAGATTATAAAAATCTGGTCAGTCACATGACTGACCCAATTTACGACCATTATAATATTCGACCATAATGGGCTGGCTCAGTTACGGCTTTATGTTGAGGATTTTCTGTCTGTAAAAAGGAAAAAAATAGGACCATCACAAGCATCGTTTGTCCATTAGCACAGGGATCCCCAATCCCCAGTCCACGGACCAGTACTGGGCCGCAGCATGGCAGCAACCGGTCCGCACAAACAACCAAAGACCCATCCATGAGATGCAGTCAGCACACAAAACCATGCCCCCTCCGGTCCGTGGAAAAACCTCTTTCCACGGAACCGGTCCCTGGTGCCCGAAAGGTTGGGGACCTCTGGATTAGTGGGCATGAAATGGAAACTGATCAAGGAGAGAAGCAACCTAGAACTAAGGAGAAACTTTCTGACAGTTAGAACAATTAACCAATGGAACAACCTGCCTCCAGAAGCGGTGAATGCTCCAACACTGGAAGTTTTTAAGAAGAGACTGGACAGCCATTTGTCTGAAATGGTGTAGAGTTCCTGCCTGAGCAGGGGGTTGGACTAGATGATCTCCAAGGTCCCTTCCAACTTCATTATTATTATTATTATGGATCATCGCACAGTCAGCCAGATGTTCAGACTGGATTTGGCATTTTGTCTACCTATCGAGTCCTTACCCAGGACCTGGGATAGGCAGATGTGGATGTTTGATGGTATTACAGATATCGTCGCAGGATGGAAGCAGTTCCTAATAAGGCATTATTATTATTATTATTATTATTATCGATCATCGCACAGTCAGCCAGATGTTCAGACTGGATTTGGCATTTTGTCTACCTATCGAGTCCTTACCCAGGACCTGGGATAGGCAGATGTGGATGTTTGATGGTATTACAGATATCGTCGCAGGATGGAAGCAGTTCCTAATAAGGCTGCCTTTTGCAATTGACTAATAGCGAATTTGTCAATGCCAATGGTGTTCAAGTGGTGCTCCAGTTGTTTTGGGATTGCACCCAAGGAGCCTATGACTATTGGTACTACCCTTGCTTGCTTTTGCCACAGTCTTTCTATTTCTATTTGTAGGTCTTTGTATTTTGTTATCTTCTCCAGTTCTTTCTCTTCTATTATTATTATTATGGTGGATCATCGCACAGTCAGCCAGATGTTCAGACTGGATTTGGCATTTTGTCTACCTATCGAGTCCTTACCCAGGACCTGGGATAGGCAGATGTGGATGTTTGATGGTATTACAGGTATCGTCGCAGGATGGAAGCAGTTCCTAATAAGGCCGCCTTTTGCAATTGACTAATAGCGAATTTGTCAATACCAATGGTGTTCAAGTGGTGCTCCAGTTGCTTTGGGATTGCACCCAAGGAGCCTATTACTATTGGTACTACCCTTGCTTGCTTTTGCCACAGTCTTTCTATTTCTATTTGTAGGTCTTTGTATTTTGTTATCTTCTCCAGTTCTTTCTCTTCTATTCTGCTGTCTCCAGGCACTGCCACGTCCACTATCCAGACTTTTTTGTCTTTCTTATCGACAATTGTTAAGTCTGGGGTGTTATGTTGCAGGTGCTTGTCTGTTTGAATTCTGAAGTCCCAGAGCAGTTTAATTTTATCATTTTCTATGACTTTCTCTATTTTATGATCCCACCAGTTTTTGCTTACAGGCAAATGATATTTTTTGCAGATCTTCCAATGCACCATTGTTGCTACTTTGTCATGCCGCTGCTTGTAATCAGTCTGTGCAATCTTCTTGCAACAGCTTACCAAGTGGTCCACTGTTTCTTCAGCTTCTTTGCATAGGCGGCACTTACTGTCTGTTGCTGTCTTCTCAATTTTGACTTTGTATGCATTTGTCCTTAAGGCTTGGTCTTGTGCAGCCAGAATTAGTCCCTCGGTCTCTTTCTTCAATTTTCCTGCTCTTAGCCATTGCCAGGTTTTATTATTATCTGCTTTCCCAGCTATTTTTTTCATGTATTGGCCATGTAGTGCTTTGTCTTCCCATGCCTCTATTCTGTTCTTCATTTGGTCTTTCTTGTAGGCCAGTTTGGTCTCTCCAGTAGTTAGTAAGCCTTCCTGATATACTAATTTCAGTGCATCTTCATCATTGTTCTTCAGATATTCTTCCAAAGCCATTTTTTCTTCTTCAACCATCTGATGTACTTGTAGCATTCCACGCCCACCTATTTGCCTTGGTAGATAAAGTCTATCAATGTCACTGCGTGGATGAAGGGCATGATTCATTGTCATTATTTTTCTGGTCTGCCTATCCATTGCTTTTAGTTCTGCTTGAGTCCAGTCCACTATTCCAGCTGTGTACCTAATGACTGGGATTGCCCAGGTGTTGATTGCCTTTATGGTATTTCCTCCATTGAGTTTGGATTTAAGATCTTCTTCACTCTCTTGATGTATTCACCTCTAATCTTTTTCTTGACTTCAGTGTGCTTGATGTTGTCAGCTTGAAGGATACCCAAGTATTTGTAGTACTCTTCCTCATCCAGACTCTTAATGTTATTTTCGTGGGGCATCTTGATTCCTTCAGTTTTCACTATTTTTCCTTGTTTGATAGTAAGTGTGGCACATTTGTCCAAGCCAAACTCCATTACAATATCTTGGCTATATATACGGACAGTGTTGAGCAGCGATTCTATTTCAGATGATGTTTTTCCATACAGCTTCAGATCATCCATGTAAAGGAGGTGGGATAGTCTGCAGATGTTTTTGATGTTTGATAGCCATGTCCTGAGTTATTCAGTATTGTTGACAGAGGAAACAGTGCAATAACAAATAGTAATGGTGATAATGAATCTCCTTGAAATATTCCTCTCTTGATATTAACCTCTCCCAGCTTCTCACCATTGATCTGCAACTTTGTCTTCCATTGTGCCATCGATTTTTGCACAAATTTTCTGATGTTTCTACTTACTCCTGTTATTTCTAGGCACTTGATTATCCAATCATGTGGCAGAGAGTCAAATGCCTTTTTGTAGTCAATCCATGCTACATTCAGGTTGGTCTTCCTTCTCTTGCAGTTTTCCAAGATCATTTTGTCTATTAGGAGTTGATCTTTTGTTCCTCTGCTATTGGGGCGGTTTCCTTTCTGCTCAGGTGGAAAGAGATTGTTTTCAACTAGATGCTGTTGTACTGCATCAGCTACCACACCAGTTAGTAATTTGAAAGTTGTTGGTAAGCAGGTAATTGGCCTGTAGTTACCTGGTGTTGCCCCTTTTGCTGGATTTTTCATTATTAGGTAGGTTTTCCCAGTTGTTAGCCACTTTTCAATTTCTCCTCCTTGTAGTATATTGTTGAACTGTTTGGCAATGAGTGGGTGTATAACAGTTAGATGTTTCAACCAAAACCCATGCAGTTCATCTTCACCTGGTGCTGACCAATTTTTGATTTTCTTTGCTCTTTTTTCTACCATTTTTGTTGTTATTACTAGTTCTTTCATTTCAACTTCTGTTTTATTTGCATCCACCTCTTTTAACCAAGCCGCATCCTTGTTGTATTTCTTTGGGTTATCCCATATCTGCTTCCAGAACTGCACTGTTTCTTCCTTGTCAGGTACTGACTGATTCCTTGCAGTTTCTCCATTGATGGATTGGTAGAAACGTTTCTGATTGGATTGAAATTGGAGGTTCTGCCTATAGTTTGCAATTCGAGCTTCATATCTACTGATTTTCCTGGCTATAGCTGTTATTTGTTGCTTTATTATTTCCAGTGCTTCCTTGATCTTCCTTGTTTCTAAGTGGTATTTCTTGATTAGGTATTCTTTGGTCTTCTTGTTCTTCAGCTTCTTTTCTTTCATCTGTTCTAGCTTGCTTGCATGTGATCTTAACTTGCTGATCTTATTTTCTAGTCTAACCTTCCATTTTTCTGGTGCACTGTTTGTTTGTTTTTCTTCTTTGTTGATTTTGCATCCCAGGTATTCTGTTATAACTGCAGCTGTGCTGTACATTAGTTGGTTTGTTTCTTGCAGTGAATTGGTGCTTATACTTGATATTGCAGTATTTGCATCTTTTAATGCTTGTGCTAGCTGTTTCTTTGGAACAAGCTTCAATGCAGGCAGCCTTATTCTGTTGTTTTTGTGCTGTTCTAGATGCTCAGTTATTCTTTGTTTCAATTCTTTTATTTCTTTAGTTAGAGGGTTTTGTTCTTCCTGAGGAAGAGGTGCCTGGTTTCCAAATGAGAACAGTTGTATATCTCTGCTGGATTCCTTCACTGCCAACTCCCCCTGGTTTGCCTCTACATTCTGAATTACTTCTGGTAAGGCTTTGATTTCTTTGCCCTGGGTAAACCTTTGCAGTTCGTCCAATTCTGTTTCTGTAAATACTTTATTTCGTGTTATAAATCGGCGTTGATCTGCTAGTCTCTGTTCTGTTATTTCTGATTCTGGATGTTGTTCTTTCCAGAATTGGTGCATTCGTTTTAGATATCCTCGTCTTGTTGGACTTGATCTGTAGTAACAGATCATTATTTCTTTGTTTTCCATCACTGTGTATCTGCGACGGGTAAACACCTTTTCTTCCAGTAGTTCTGCAGCTGCTGGCCCTGGTTGCTCAGCCAACAGTCCTGAGTCCTGTAACCCATTTTTCACCAGATATCCAGGAACTCCAATATCTAGTGCGGACCTTGTTAACCCGGGCGACGTCCGAGCCGGTATGGCATTCTGAAATTTACGTCTCACCATATTTTTTATGGGAGAGACACTCTTTGTCTGACTCCTCTGATGAGACCTGTCCAGTATGGTTGAACCTCTGGCATAGCTCTCATCTTCCTCAGAGTACACAAGCCCCACAACCACGTCAAGGTAGTGCCTCACTGGGGGATTTATTATTATTATTATTATTATTATTATTATTATTATTATTATTATTATTATTTTCCTTCGGTATCATTTCCTGCCTTAGATTCTGCAGCATTGTGTCCAGGGAGACTTTTATTTATTTCTACGGAAGACAATATAATAAGATAACCAGAAGAGGGCAATCCTGTTTAAAGAGGATTAGGTTACATGGCTAAGTAAAAGAACTCACGATGTTCTCAGTCTGGCCTCAGTGAAAAAGGCAACTGGTACAATAATAAAGGGGGGGGAAATGAGAATTGTCCTACAGAAAAAATGGTGTGATGTGCTGGACTGGAAAGGTGTACGTTTCTCTCTGATTAGTTAAAACCTCATGTTTGCTGTTTAGAATTAGCCTCCATGGAATTGAAAAGACCTTGTCTGGGATGCCCCTGGAATCTAAAAAGTGATGATTAGCTGTCCTGAAACACTATTGACTGATAGTTGCAAAGCCCAAGTTTTGTATCAAGAAAATCCAGCCTCTCTTTCCTTGACATCCCCAGCTAAAGCCAAAAAAGATTTATGTTAAAACTCAGGAGATGGTGTAAACAATGCCACACTGGATGAACCAATGTTCATCACTTTCCTTCCCTCCTGAACGTGCAACTTATAATCATAACATCTTTATTTCTTTCAGAGATAATTGGATCAAATTGTAGCTGTAGAAGAAACTGAAAACATAATGCCCCATTAGAAAAAAAAAAGAAAAGCATTCTTCACTTTGGAAAACCTCAAAGTGTACGTCCTAAATTGTTACATTACTTAGCAAGAAATCAAATAGTTTAATGAATGAGTCTCCAAACCATTTCAAGTAGCTGTATTATGAAGAAAAATTAGGAATATCAACCCTACACTTATATATCTTCATTGCAAACCATTTACCCCAGTTAAGTGTATCTGCTATTTCAGACTCCCTCAAATCCTATTACTAATTGCCAATTCATGGCCCTAAATAAATTTATATACTGTTAAAACTCCCAGTCATGACCTTTAACTGGAAAAAAGTGCGCCATAGGGCAACAATTTTGGAATGAAACTACCTTAAATGGGCTAATGTGTCCAAAATCTGGGATCCGTGACTCCAGAAAGCAAGAAGTTTGGCAAAGTTTTGCTTCAGTGATATTGACCACTGCTGCGTTGCTGCTGCAGTCATGTGATCTTCATTTTAATGCTCCATGACAGTTTCCAAGCCAGTCTCACAATCCCTTGCTCTTCTTTTACCCAGCAGCAGCCACTTCCCTGCCTGAAGGGAAGGGAAGGGAAGGGAAGGAAGATTTCCGATGCTCCTCGCCAGGTTCCCAAAAGCAAAAATCAATGGGGAAGCCTGCAGGAAATCAGAAGTCTCTCCTTCTCCCACTGCTTTTTTGCCCGCCTGTGGTCATTCTGTTTCTCTGTTTAAGTAAGGAAATACCGCTGACATGATCACCCAATAGGACACGGATTGCCTCATCTCTTGAGCTAGCCGTGGACAGATAAACCATGAATCATATATAGATGGCAAGGCTATAGCCTGCTGAAGAGGGGGCCACCGTTCAACATACAGCCCCTTGTATGAGAGGTCCTTAGTGCTCTCTGACCCTGGTGGTTTTCCTGCAGAGGTTTTATTACCCCAACTATGCAAAGTGCATTGATGATGTTGCCTAATTAGGGAATGAAACATCTGCAAGAAAAACCACCAAGTTCAGAGAGCACCCAGGACCCCTCATTTCAACCCTGAAGTAGAAATATACTGTAGCTCTTTATTGGAGCCCTTTGTATACTCTTTCCAAGCCAAACAATTGTTTAAGTTCTACTCACATCCTTTTGTAGATTTCCACTTCCAGAACCGAGATGAGATCCTCCAGGAAGATGTGGCAGAGTTGAGAACTGGACCAAAGGCCTCTAGCCCTGTTGAAGACAGCAGTCATCCAGATGGGGAAAAATACTCTGCAAGATGTAGGTTTCCTATACCTAGTGTAGGAGAGAGAGAGAGAGAGAGAGAGAGAGAGAGAGAGAGAGAGAGAGAGAGAGAGAGAGAGAGAGAGAGAGAGAGAGAGAGAGAGAGAGAGAGAGAGAGAGAAGGCAATAAATCTTTTTTAGTAAGTTGGAATCCGGGAAAGTGTGTTTTTTCTAGAATTACTGCTTTGAGATGTAGTTAAGGAATAAGTGCTCCTAATCGCATTTTTCTAAGTGCTTCCTGGAAGATTACCAAATTAAATTGCCAAAACTGAGTCAAGCACAAACATCACACCCTTCAGCTTGAAAAAAAAAAAAAAACCCACCATCTCTTCAATACAACAACAGGAAATCTTTTAAGCTTCTACGTATATGCAGTGATGGTTGATGGATCAGGGGCTGCACATGCATTCAAATACCCAACAGGTATGCACACAACCACACCAGACTCCATATTTACCTGCAAGATTAGATATACAAACTCAGAGGCAAAAACACCCCAGGAAGAATATATAATGACAAATAGAAAAACACCCCCACAAACTCTTCTATTACCAGCGATTTAGGCTGGTAATGCTATATTTTTGTTGCCGTTTCCAGAAAGAAACAATCATTTCATTTGAAACTGCTTAGGTGGACAGTTGTTCCCAGTGTACTTTGAGTGGCTGTTTTCTAATTGCTATTATTATTACTATATTTATTTGCATCCTGCTTTTATTAATACTAATTGGTTAACAACAGTTTGCATGCCTTTGGGGAAGAATAGATGGTCAGTACCATAACCCTTCCTTATTTTATTTTATATTTTTTATATTTTATTTTATTTTATATTTTACTTTATATTTTATTTTATATTTTATTTTATTTTATATTTTATTTTATTTTGTTATTTTATTTATCAAAGGTATTTTATTTTATTTATCAAAGGTATTTTATTTTATTTATCAAAGGTATTTTATTTTATTTATCAAAGGTATCAACTTATGACCCAGTTTTTTAATGGCCAATCAGAATCACGAGGGCTTCAGAAAGGTTGTTTTCTATTTATCCCTAAATTACTTCTAGCTATCATAAAATCTACTCCCACCTCCATCACACGACTACATTTTTGAGCACTTGGCAACAGCTCAGAGTTTACAACTGGTTGCAGCATCCCAGGACCACAGGACCACAATCTGCAACCTTTTTTGCCCACTTCTAGCAAAAAGAAACCCTTCAGAAGAAAAGGTTTGGGACTTACGACTGTATGATTCACTGGACGAATACTGTAAAACAAAGGCTCCAGCCACAGGGGTGCCTTAATTTACGACCATCATGACTTAACAACTAAAATTGCGGTCCACAGGTTGTGCATGGTAAGTCAAGGACCACTTATATAGCTGCCTATTTGCATACAAAATTCTCTCTCTCTTTCTACCATTCTGTGAAAGAGGAAGTTGCAAAATGAAATAAAAGAACACCTTGGCAGCATCTTCTGTTGCCGCACAATCACACTTCTAGAGGTTTTGGGGTTGTTGGTTTTTTTTTTTTTTTTTGCAGGCAAGGAGGATGTTCCGACTAATTCTAAGCTAAAATGTGTTATCCCATTTCCTCAACCTTTCTACCCCTGAGGATTCAGGGGTAAAAATCTTTGAGGAAGTGGCATACCATATTTTAGCTCAGAGTTCATTCGGTCAAGATTCAAGAGCCAACTTTTGTTCCTTCATCAGAATTATTTATCATTATTTTTCTGCAGTTGATGGGAAAAAGAAGTTGCTTCCCTCTTGAACACCCCCCAACCCCAACCCATCTTTCCATTTTTTTGCTTTTTTTCCTGGTTCTTTCTGCTACTAAATGGGGGGGGAGGTAAGTTAGGGAGGCTATAAACTAGGAGAGAGGCTAAAAGAAAGAATCCTTGAACGTATCTTTGAGTCACTCAGATGGGGCAGGTGTGTGTGTGTTTGTGTAGGTTCATGTAATTTCTATAGAAAAGCAATGTGTGTGTGTGGGGGGGGGGAAGATTCAACATAGCCAAAGTCAAAAACCAGCTTCTATCCAGGGATCACAGTAGCAAAGCAATCTGTGACAAGATGCTTAAAAAAGGCTTCTGACTTAAATCTTGATGTCTAAATGGTAGTTGCTCAGCAGATCCACTAGCTCAATAGAATATTGCTTTCTTGGCATCTTTGTGAGACCGTTAAAGAAGCTGGAGGATGGGTGGATAGAGGGAAAGTATTCTGAACTGAGTAAGTCCTGACTTGCAAACACTATTTAGATTTAAAGTCCTTTGTTTGCACTGATTGCGCAAGCTTCTTCTAATTTAAGCCATGCTGAATCATAAACTTCCCTTTTAACATTGACCGGCATGTTGTCTGGATCCAAGGCTGATGATTTTAAGTTCACCTACTAAACCTGCAAACAGAACTGGCAAAACTCCAGAGAACTTCTCCCACTTAATGCTGATGATAGTACAGCTATATTAAAAAGAAGAATCTGACTTCATATTTGGCCTGACTTTAGTTTCTGACTGGTCGAAGCAGTTTTATAAGAAATCTCCCCAAGCGTAGCCAACTTTTCTAAAGAACACATTATCGCATAGTTTACTTCTGCTCGTCAAGTGCGGTTCTTTCGTTATTACTAGCTGGCATTTGATTTTCCTGTTGATTCTAATTTAAGCAATATGTTGCCATGGTGTACTTTAAAACAAGGCATCGGGAATTCTTCTTCAGTGAGAGTTTTCATACCAACAGCTCAACTTCAGATGGTCTGTGAACTTGCTGGGATTAATTTGATGATGGTGAAGGCTCCGTTCTGAAAATCTACTTGAGTAATTGTGTGGTCATCATGGAGGCATCTAAAGTCATCTTGTTGTTCCTTGAAAGAAAGAACAAAAAACATAGTGAAAACAGAGGTGAATAATTCTATTTCAAAAATATGTAGTGTGTGTGTGTGTGTGTGTAAACTCTGATCATAGATAGATAGAAAAGAAGATGTAATGATTAACTACAACACTTAGAGAATCATAGGGCTGGATGGGACCTTGGAGGTCTTGTAGTCCAAGCTTCTGCCTAAGACAGCGGTCCTGGGCAAGTGGATCTCCAATCTTTTCTTGAAAATCTCCAGGGATGGAGCATCCAGAACTCAAGGAGGCAAGCTTTTCCATTCATTAATTGCTTTCACTTAGTAACACGTCACTCTTAAGGTAAAAAAAAATGTATCACCAAAAACACAGACAAAAAGACTACTGGATTGTTAAAACGGTAGCTATTAATTTACAGATATCAAAACATACGAAAAACAATTATTAGGATTTTGAAAGGAAACACCATTTATCCAGCTGAGGCTGAGTATGACCAGGTGAACGGTGTGCTCTTTATCATGCTACCTTTCCATGGCCCCTGATCTTTAAACAGTCTGAAGTCTGGATATGCCTCTGCACCAAGGATATCTTCAAAAGGAAGACAGTCTCATGTAAAATCGCCCTTTATTGATATTCTTGGAATATTGTTATTGGGAAATAAATGGATTCCCACTGTGAAAGAGTCAACAGCTGAAATTCTTGTAACTCCATCCTTTTCATCACAACACATCTCGTTAAAGAAGATGTTGTGCTTGGAAAGAATTGTATTTGTTTGGAAGCTGCTGCTAAAGAGTCTGACCCCTAGAGAAAGACCTTGCATGTTGCAAAGTGTCTCACCCAGGTTTGCAGAGTGTACTTCGCAATGTGACAGAGGGTCAATATTATTACATCCATGGAGACTATTCAGATGGAGACAATTCCATTAAATTGATAGTTAATGGCATCCACATTTAAATTATATTAAATCAAATTTAAGCTTTGGTCTTGCTCAAACCACTTCTTCATCCAGAATCTACATACATACATACATACATACATACATACATACATACATACATGTAGTCCTCAACTTACAAAACCACAATTGAGCCCAAATTTCTGCCACTAAGCAAGAGAATCAAGGGAATTTTGTCCCATTTTATGACCTTGTTAAATTAGTAACACAGTTGTTAAGTGAATCAGTTTTCAACATTGACTTTGCCTCTCATACGTTTGCAAAAGGCAATCTCATGACCCCGGGACACTGCAATCATCATAAATACATGCCAGTTGCCAAGTGGCCAAATTTTGATCACGTGACCACAGGGATGCTGCAACAGTCACATGTGTGAAAACAGTCATAAGTCATTTTTTAAAATGCTGTCGTAACTTCAAACAGTCACTAAACAAATGGTTGTAATTCAAGGATTATCTGTACATTGTTGTTGTTAGTTGCGAAGTCGGGTCCGACCCATCGCGACCCCATGGACAACATTCCTCCAGGCCTTCATGTCCTCTACCATCTTCTGGGGTCCATTTAAGCTCATGCCTACTGCTTCAGTGACTCCATCCAGCCACCTCATTCTCTGTTGTCCCCTTCTTCTATTGCCCTCAATCTTTCCCAGCATTAGGCTCTTCTCCAGTGAGTCCTTCCTTCTCATTAGGTGGCCAAAGCACTTGAGTTTCAACTTCAGGATCTGGCCTTCTAAAGAGCAGTCGGGGTTGATCTCTTCTAGGACTGACCGGTTTGAACGCCTTGCAGTCCAAGGGACTCGCAGGAGTCTTCTTCAGCACCATAGTTCAAAGGCCTCAATTCTTTGGCGCTAAGCCTTTCTTATGGTCCAACTTTCACAGCCATACATAGCAACTGGGAAAACCATGGCCTGGACTATACACACTTTTGTTGGCAGGGTGATGTCTCTGCTTTTTAGTATGCTGTCTAGATTTGCCATAGCTTTCCTCCCCAGGAGCAAGAGTCTTTTAATTTCTTGGCTGCAGTCCCCATCTGAGGTGATCTTTGAGCCCAGAAAAATAAAATCTGTCACTACCTCCATTTCTTCCCCATCTATTTGCAGGAATTGAGAGGGCCGGATGCCATGATTTTGGTTTTCTTAATGTTGAGTTTCAAGCCAACTTTTGCACTCTCCTTGTTCACCCGCATCAAGAGGCTCTTTAGTTCCTCTTCACTTTCTGCCATTAGAGTGGTATCATTTAATGAAGCAAAGTTTTGGATTATGAGCTTGGATTTCAGTGGAGTTTTCCCACAATCTCATTTCCTGGTTTCAGTTAGATCACAGACTAATCTGATTGGTTCAAAAGAACTTTTCAGATCCCAACTGGCTTCTTGGGATGTTGCTGATTATAGCCTAGAAACTCAGCAGGGGCTTTGCTAGGAGATGTTATGAACATGTCCTTCTGACCAGCTGAAACAACAATGAAAACCGGAATAGCATCTTGCAGGAACAATGTTGCCAATGCTAAGATCTTCCCAGTTACATTAAAAAAACAACAACCCACAATTGTTTTATGGAAAGTTTAAGACAGATCCAGAAATGTTTCCCGCTCGGTTTATTTGCTTAGTTTTAAATCTACCTGGCTCCTCAGAAATTTATCTAAATGGTACTTTTGTTGGCTACGTGCAATTACTATCTGCTGTTTAATTTCCTGATAACTTGATTTTGATCTCTGTTGTAAGCAACTCCAGCGCTTATTTGAATAAGAAATCCAGAAATGAGTAAAGGTGTTTTTTTAAAAAAGAAAAAAACAAAACAAAACAGTGCTTGATATGAAAACAGTTCGGCAATCTTAAAAAAAGAGAAGAAGTTAGAAACCAAACCATTGGGAAAAAAGTGAGAATTAAATATAGAATAAAACTTGAAAGGATAGAGTGGGAAAATACGTATGTGACCGGAATGAATTTCATGTTGGATTCAAATTTGGTATTACTTAGAAGACTTAAAATTAAAATTAAAGAATCTTAGGATGCATTGTGTTCCTACATGCATTTAACTGGAAATAAATATTAATGCAATCAGTGGGGTTCACTTCCTATGGATACAAAAAATACTTTTATAATAGAATAATTACAGGTAGTCCTCACTTAGTGATGGTAATTGAAATTGGTAATTCTGTTGCTAAGAGACACAGGCATATGGCATAATGATTTATGACATCAGCTCCTGTAATCCCAATTGCCTTTGTTAGGTGAATCCAGCATGGCCACAGCATCCCATAATTATGTGATTGCCATTTCTGACTTCCTGCTGGCTTCCCCATTGTGAGCACTGAAGGTATATGATAATGAGTATGAATGATCATCACATGAATGCAGGATGCTGTGTCCATCGTAACTGGAAGCTGGTTGCCAAGCACCCGAAATGTGACCGTATGTCCATAGAGATACTACAACGGCCACAGCTTTGAGGAACGGAACATACAGCCCCATTGTAACTTTGAATGGTCACTGAACAATAGGTTGTTAAGTGAGGACTACCTGTGCACAATTAAAATAGCAGAGAAAGAAATCTGGTTGATTAAATTTTCAGCCATATCTTAAACCCTCTCCTGCAAAGTAAAACTGGCAGATTCTTTGCCCAGTGAAGGAAAGTAGAGATGAATTTTGCAACGCTCAAGTGACCACTAAAATAAAATGAACAAACAAAACACAGTGTGACATCTGTGTAGCTGATCAACTGAGAATAAATATGAAGATATTCGTGTTTTCCCCACATCTGTTCAAACAATGCCCAATGCATGACACCCATGGCCAAACTGTAGGGATCTGAGAGAGATGGACAGGAGTATCTTATATTGGAAATTTTATTCTCTGCTTGATTATAATTTTGCTTTAGCCAGTGTTAGATTTATGGGACAGTTGCTGTGGGAGTTTGAAGTATTTTCTCACATGAGAATCTAATCCTGAAGCAAGTTTTAAAACAAGAACAGAAAGAAGAATTATTTTCAGCAAGTACATTGAAGAGATCAGCAAAGTTTAGCAGCTAAGTAGGTCTATCCTTCCAAAAAATGTGCTCTCTATGCATTTATTTGCCTGGGAAATAAACAAAAGGGAATAACCTCTGATTAGCTATTTTATAGATAGATAAAAACAGGCAGATGCAAAGAAAGTAACTATACTCCAGTATACTCCACTGGCTAGTAGGTCATGAATTGTTGAGGAGTTAATGGGGTTTAACAGAAAATAACAGAATAATGGAGTTAGAAGGGACCTTGGAGGTCTTCTAGTCCAACCTCCTGCTCAGACAGGAAACCCTATACCATTTCAGACAAATGGTTGTCCAATCTCTTCTTTAAAATCTCCAGTGCTGGAGCACCCACAATTTCTGGAAACAAACCACTGATTAATTGTTCTCATTGTCAGGAAATTACTCCTTAGTTCTAGGTTGCTTCTCTCCTTGATTAGTTTCCATCTGTTGTTTCTTGTCTTGCCTCCAGGTGCTGACTCCCCTCTTCTTTGTGGCAGCCCCTCAAATATTGGAACATTGCTATCATGTAATCCCAAGTCCTTCTTTTCATTAAACCAGACATACTCAATTCCTGCAACCGTTCTTCCAATGTTTTAGCCTCCAGTTCCCCATTTGATCTAACCTCCAACAACTATCTTAAAGCTAGTCATGAATGTACTGTCTTTAGTTGTGTTGCATCCAGTAATGTTGGTTCTGAAACATTTTTACCAACACTGCAATCATACAAACACTGTCTTTCTCATCATTTGCAATTTCATGTCTAATCTCATTGCTCCAGAAAAATCTCTAATGGGTACTCTGGTAGGAACTATTGATGTTCAATTAAGAACTATTCTTAATTGAACATCACTAGCTATTTGATCAGCTGGATCTGACAAGGATCAAGCACTTCATATTAATTGTCAAAATTAAAGCCTGCAAGCCAAGTTTACAGACTAATTTAATAGTTGGTGGATCTCCAATGTACAACGGGAAGAAGGATCTTGGCAACGTCCTAAATGATCACTCGGTCGGCTCCCAAATTCTGTATTCCTGTTATATAATTCCCTGTC